CAGTACCACTGATTTACCCATATGAGCAGCAAAAAGACGTTTTAGACCACATTTTACATATTTGAACAAATACACACAAAAACATCAAAATTAGCACAGAAACAGTACTATATAACATTTTAGACACATTCTAGACAGTTTATCAGCTAAAAAAAAGTTAATTTTGGGGTAAGTTACTCTTTAAATCTAGGTGAAGTGTCAGCTTGAGCAGAGAGTTTTTTATTTATTTATGGTGCAAAGAAGTTATGAATTCCTGTATTTGATTTGCAGTCCTGCAGAAATAGTCAGTGAAAACCACAGAACTAAGTCAAGTCAAATGACAATAAATTCYACAGGCTGTTTTTAGTTTACAAAGAAAAGAAGTTGAATGAGTTTAAACAGGGGGGAGAGGGCTTTAAAGCCACGTTAATAACAAGGCAGTGTTGTGGACATACCATGTGWGTCCCTGAGGAGTAGGGTTTCCAGGAGTCCTGCTGCTGGTGTTGGTTTCTCGGYTCGTCCTTCCACTAATCTACAGCTTTCCTTTGGTATGTGTGTAGTTTTGTAGTATTTCATGTGGCTGACTGGAGGACTCACGTTGCTCCAGCAGGCAGATCTGACAGCTTCAGTGTAGTTTTTTTACTTGAGTTGGAACAAAACACAAGAAGAACCGCAGGAGAGGAGAGGTCTCAGCAGCTGAGCCAATAAAGACTGAGGGGCTGAACCAGAGCTGAACTACAAAAAATAAATAAATAAATAAATAAATAAACCGGGCCAGTGGGGCAGGGAAACACGTTTACATTTATACTCTAAGTTACATCTTAATGTTTTGTTTCTGTTCTTGTTTAAAGCTTGAAAATATTTCTCTGCTCTGTAAATTAATTCAGATTAAGCAGATTTTTACACATGTGGTCCACTGAACGCATTCTGGTGTCAGCCCTGTATGGCAAGCCCATGTGTCATTTAATAGACTACAGGCTACATTCACACTACAGGCAAAAGTAACACAAATTCTATTTTTTTTTTTTTACATTTTCCTCCCCATATGCTGGATTTTTTATGACAGTGAATGTAACATCTCCAACCTAGTTTGAATTCTTTATTTTTTTATGTTTTTCAAATCATCTGCAGTCTGTCATGTCACATTTGATAATATTTTAAAGTCATTTAGGTGGGGGTATACAGACTGATCCAAATATTGATGTGATTAATACTAACTTCATATAGCTCAGAGCTCTGAATGTCTTCAGCTACTGAACAGAAGTCGTTGCTTCAATATGACATTTGATTCTAATTGTGGTACACCAACATGGTGGATTGTATTGATACTAGCAGGATGAGATATATACCTTGTTTCTACTTTCAGTTGTTCCTGGTGTAGAAGTGTGATTCTGCACCTGAGTAGCTGGAAGCRGTAAGATCAAATGTAAATAATGGACAAAATGAGTCCCTGATATATGCTCTCAAGACAAATGCTCACATCCTTAATGAAAAAAACAAAACAAAACAACAACAACAAAAGCTCACAAACTTTGGAGTTTTATTAGCCACACGTTCTTTCATAGAAAAAGCACATAATATTTACATTACAAAGTATTATAATACATCAA